CCTAATGAAGGGCATCTTCCCTCAGATATTAGGCGATTCCATTACCATTGATGTAGGAGTCCACGACGGTCATCCGGTTCGTAGTCAGTGTTCCGGTCTTGTCCGAGCAGATCGACGTCGCATTGCCCATAGTCTCACATGCGTCCAGATGGCGTACGAGATTATTGTCATGCATCATCTATATTTACCTTTTATTCATATTTATAAAGAAAAGCGAAGGAGAAAGTGAATGTTCGAAATATTGGTAGCATTACTTTGAACTCAGAGATTATGATAGAACGCAGGTAAGGGAATTAATTCTGATTTTCAAGACATAATCCACTCTGAAGACGAGGTGGTGCAGTGGCAAGTGGTGTAGAGGGCAACCACTAAACTCTTTTTCTAATAAAGCAACCCAGGCGAATTTGCAGACGATTTGTCTGGGAGGATAAAAACACCGACTATACTGCGGCTCCCCCGCCAATCATTCTACAGGCCGTATTGCCATTACTGAGCTACAATTCCGAGTAGGAGTGGAATGCGTGCCGCATCCCAGAAAAAGATCGATCAACGGTAAAAGCTTTAACCTTCATCTTCTGAGCCCTTTCTAACTGCATGGTCGACGGCAAGTGTGCCAATGTGCATTCGTCTTTCGCGCTGCACTCCATTTAGTTGGGTGAAGATGAGGGGTGTTAATGAGGAAGACTCCGCCCACATGATCGGTGTGGATTGCTTCTAGGTTCCATGTCAATTCTAACGTTTCTTCTGAATATGAGACTAACGAAGCTACTATAGCGACTCATCTGCCAGTCATAAATGTTCAAAAGAGGGGCCAAGTATTTCAGAGGGACAAGTGTGAAATCATAGTCGACCAAGCGTGTTTGAGATCTATCTCAGAATTAGCCCTCGGGGCACCTAGTTCACTCGAGGTAGTGATTGGCAAGGTTGGCATACTGACTCACCTTTTTCACGGAATACGTCAATGCTAATGCGATGGCTAGCGGAAGCCCTTCAGGAATAGATATAACCAGGATCGTTACGGCTATGATGAAGAATTTGACGAACATCTGGAATAGAATGGATACGGCTACGAGGAACATGTGCAATTTAAGAAGTTGAAATTGAGCCATAGAATAGCCTGTCCTTCGATTCAACCGCCGGCGGCGTTTGCTTCGTTTCGTCACAGCCCGTCCGGTTTTTTTTATCACAATATTATGCTTCGTAAGAGTTAGCTATAGTGGTCGTTAACCCTACTGAGGATGCAGAAGACGTTAGGTTTACACAAATAATCGCTGAATAGAGACAAATCGAAATCAGGAATGACAGGGAGATTCCATTTTCAAAACGAGGAGCTCTTTGATAAATCAGGGTAGGGATCACAGCATTCCACCAGCGGATACTGATCCGCACAGCAGGAGGGCCGTGATAATAGGCGGCAGCCACAGCCCTATTTCACCCACATCGTTGTCGACTTCCTCGCTTACAACATTTGTGGAGAACGCTTGAACGGCCGCCAAAAAAGCGCCCCATCCCCAGGCCGCTAGACACGGCCCGCGCCGCAAGCGACTAAGAATAGAATGGAAAATGAATCTTCAGTGTGAGCTTGGGACTGCCAGGAGACCCCATAGCGATTCTAGCCGTCACTTGAAGCTTGCCCCATTGCCGGTTGGGCGGAAGAACTTTGCAACTTTGCACACTTTATTAGACCCCTCAATTCCCGCACGGTGCGTCAACTTCAAGGAAAGCACAACCGCAGGGCTTTGCATAGTGGGCGATTAAGGTGTCGGTTTTTCGGCCGGTTTACACAAAATTTCAAAACCTGCTTACCTGAATATCTGATATGCTGAACGGAATTCCATCGCGCACATAGTGTTCAATACAAAATCTCGTAATTAGTACGATCAAGGCGACTCCAGCAACGGTTGTTCCTAGAAAAAAATCACACGTCGAAAGAATCATTGAAAATTTGAATGAAATCAAGCTCAGAGTTATTTGAATTTCCTCACGGTTTCGAAACCAACTAGATACTTCTTTCTCAGAGCCCTTCTTAAAGCTGTAGCTGCTTATAAGTGCACATTACGCGTTGATCGTGTGAGAGTGGCTGAGCTCACTTTAGACCAATCATTAGTGCGCTTTCTTACCAAGAGAGAGAGCACCAAACAGTTGAGTACATTTGTAGGCCGGCTCCGCCTACCACTCAAACGTGGAATGCACATTCACCAATGTTCAACTTTAATCGAATATGTGCCAAATAGAATGGCAGAACACGACAGCAAAGCAAAATAAAAGCTGCCACAAGTTTATGAGAAACAGTTTTCAGAAGATACGAGAAGAACTTTAGAAACTTTCTTATAAGTCTTGCCTCAGTGCCAATTAAACGTTGCACTCACCGCAGTAAATGATCTGTAACGCCAGTTGGGAGAGTTTTGACTGCAGCACGGACTTCGCCGAGAGACTGTCATCATCGTCACTCGAATTCGTTGAATGAGACGATGAGCTCGAGCTTGACGAAGAGCTGGACGAACTCGATGAAGCTGAAGTGCACGTTGTCAGGATTACGGTAGGAATGAGAGATTGCGATGTCAGAATTGAGCTTGAAAAGGACCTACTTGACGTGGAATTGTCGTCTGCCCCACCAATACCTGGCTTGCCAGAACCGAGAAGCGTCATAATGATACCCGTTTGAGAGTTCACACCGACAGCGGTCAATATCATTTTACCAGAACCTTCCATTGCATAAGTACCTAAAAAGCGCATTGTATAGTTTTACCTTGAGCGTTACGTGATCACTTTCCGCAGAAAACTCACCCGAAAGCAGCACAGGATCCGATTCTACAGTCTTTTTGATATGATCCGACTCACCAGTAAGCGAGGACTCATCGATCTGCAACGGGACAACTGTCACAAAGTAATCAAAAAATGCACAAGTTTACTGACACATTCCGATAAAACCGGCCAGCCATAAAGGTACGGGGACTTATAATAAATGTAGCTCGCCCTCACTGGCAAGCGACTCCCATTTGCCCTCTGATTACTCCACAACCTCTAATGCGTAGGCGTGGACCTGTACTCCACTTGAACGTGGCCGCGCCGTGCTTCCGCGAGTTATGTTCATTTCCAGATAGCACATTTCTGTGCACTAACCACACAAAGATAGCAGTCTGGAAAACTTTCTCACGCGTGAATTTCCCTTCAAGAGTGTTATCGATAGCTTATAGGCCGGAGCACGCCCGCCCAGTGCGCCACCTGAGGTTGCTACCTCTGCTCGTAATAAAGCGCTCGCTTTCTTATTTAGTAAGTTGGTGAACGCTTTTTTTGTTTTTTTTTCCTTTACCGTTGGCTTCCCTGGCATCTGACCGCGGATTTTGCCCTTAGACAGTTCTCACCTTGAGGTCGTTGCCTTGAAGAAGGAAACCGTCGGCTGGTAGGAGATCTCCATATTTGACTCGAGCGACATCACCCACGACTAGGTCGGACACTGGTACATCGATCGCTTCGCCGTCACGTATCACCGAGAACTTTTGACCAGTCTCGATTTTTTCCTTAATTTTTCCAAAGAAAGTGTCATTGGATAGATCAGCTTAGTCAATTTAAAATTCATGCCGGCTACCAGATTTGGTGGTGGTGGCATGAATCGATAAAGATCAATACCTGAAGACTTCGGAACTGTCTCTCTTTGGAGTAATCGTTACCGGCAGTCACCAGAACAACAACGACAACACAAAGCAGAATCGCAACACCTTCAATCCAAGCCGTGTTATGTCCTTCAGTCGGAGGTACTACAGTAGTTCCATTCAGAGATAGAGTAGAGTTGAGCAAATCAAATCCTGTAATCATGCTATTTTTAGAAAAACTCAGATAATCTCATATGATAGCTTCCAGCAAGTATACAGCTTGAACCGAAAATAGGAGAGCCTCTGAGTGACCACGAGTTTGTAGTCAAAGGACCAGTCCACGCTGACCGCAGGGGCGGAGACGGTCAGCCGAGTGCTTTTCTCATAAGCGCCTCACCTTTCCTTTTTGCAGCAAGGGATAGTAGCAATGTAAGCTGTCTCTACGCGTGCGATCAACGTGGTCTGTGCCTCAGAAGGATCACATGGCGGGGGCCGAGGCAGTTTCGCCGTTACCAGCCAAACGGCCTTTGACAAAATCAAAACGAACCAAGTGTACTATTCGATAAAAAGCCAGCAACAACAGAGGCAGCCGTGGTGACCATCTCTTCATCGACAGGACTTTGCACTTCAGGTTCGTAGAAGGAAAGCGCCAAATTTACAAAGCCAGATACAACAAGAATAATAAGGGTTGGGTCCTGAAATGGAACATCTTCAGCACAGTTCGTCAGCTCTCATTCCTCAGACGCGCAAACTTACACGACAAGCGTCGAAGACGAGGCGTGCAAAACTTTTGCTTTTCGCTGGCGGGATTGTGTTCGCGCCAAATGCAGCGCGACGACGGTCGAGTTCGGCGGCGCTGTTCGGCAATCCGCGAACCGGGTCCACCTTCAGCTTCTGGCATAGTCCTTCGACACCGTCGTGTTCTGTCGATAACTGTAAGAGGAAGCATTGATCGATTTCTTGATGAATTAGAAACAACTGTATTTTTTAAAGTGTTCTGCTAGCATTAAGTTTAGATAATCAGATTGGATCAAGACATCCGTGTTGCGGTGGAGTGGCGTTCCAACTGGTGGGGCACAAACCGCGGCGAAGATGAGTCATCTGTGCCCGCGCAGTGGCCTAGTTTCTGCGGGCCGCCGCAACTCGGACTTCCTGTGAGGTACTTTTGAAAATTATATTTCGAAAAACAAATGAGTAAAGAATTGCCACTCAAGGGCATGGTCTGCCAAAGAGACCTGTTTTCAGGAAGGCCGTCAGTTGTGGTGAATAAGAAATAATGACAAATAAGAACGATCAGTCGAAGTTGATGCAGCGGCGAGCTGTGGGTTGGAGAGAGAGAGGGGCATTTGAAGAGTCCTCGTGTTGGAACGGGTACTTCAACAAAAAGTGACTTGCCTTATTAACTGATTCAGCAATCATGGCGCTCCTCCCATAGTTTGATCTCATTGTCGGGCAAAAGTTCAAATGTTCACTGATGGAATCCCAGTTTTGCACAAGAGCGCCCATTCTTAGATGGTCCCTTATCAGAGCGGCCTTTTCCTACCTTGGAGTGAGCCACACACTCAACTTCTCTTTGGCATTCGCGTGATCCCTACAAATGGGTTTTTGTTCTCACAAGCAGATCTGGTAAAAGATAATCACTGTAAATCATTGGGGCCCTCTCACTTCTGTTGAGCTTTTCCCCGCAATTGCACCGACCTGCCTGGAGAAGCCCCACCGAAAAGGCCGCTCTACTTACCCCACATTGATAGAAACACGTGCTACGCGTTTTGGAGATGTGAAATGATTTCAAATTAGAAGCAACTTTTTTCCACTGGCCTATTTTCAACAGTTTTAACTCCTCGACCATTGTAGTGGACGCCCAACTTCCCATTTGTCTGACACCTTCCGACTCTGCTGTGAGGTAACCCTTGTTGTCATTTTAATCTGGCGTAAAGTCATGTACAGGTCTTGTTTCCCCCACATTCGTATTTTACATAATGCGGAGGTACAGCCTTAGTTCATGGCGACGCCTGGGTATCTGGGTACCCGAACGCGACCACCCAAATGAACCACTCGTTCAGCTATGACAGACTTATAGGAAAACTGATTTCAGCGCCATTTGTTTGCGAAGTGACACCTCTAGCCTTTAGTTTTCGCTTAACTAGAGAGAAATACAGCGAACCCATCACTGAAAGCATGCGATGGCCTTGGGTGTGGTTATCTACGCCTTAAATATAGAAATCAATTCCAAGCAGAAATTTTTTGTGAATCTCAGTATTGGCCATGTTCCAGGGCAAACTCCGCCTACATTGGGGAAGAAGGAGCAGCAGTCTATGGAACAAAACCGAAGAGCTCATTTTCGAACGGTAATGACCTATGAGGGCACCAAAAGACTCCTTGTGCAAATCTGGGATTACTGTCATAGTCAATTATTCAATTATTCACCTACTCTGGGGCTCACAAGATCGGCTTTCGATTAATCTCGGCATCAGACATGTAATAATTCAAGATGATCCTTCAGTGCCTGTAGAACTTCTACCCATCTAGAAAGCTACGAAGAAAGCGACGTTCGCCGAAACGTTAGTCCAATAAAAACTATCTGTACAAATCTCGGGAGTCTGAAAAATCATTCTGTATTTTCACTCTATTACTTTACCCGTGAGCCGCTGCACTCTTGGTACCCTGTCTCTCAAAAGAACTTAAACGAGTTCATTTTTGGGACTCACACAGAACCTCTATCACGGATCCGAAGGCATTTTTCCCGGTTGTGTGCGGGACTGAGCCCATTGCCGTGCCTGGTAACCCAGTTTTGCACGCAGAGTCTAACAAGTGGCCCGAGCTCAACGCTTATTCTCGTTCAATAATTTCGAATAATCAATAATATTTGGCGAAGTTCGATAAACACTGGTAACTGCATAAAAATCGTGAAACAATGTATAACAATTTCATTTATTTGATGGATACTGCTGGCTTAGCTCACTTACTCTGACGATGGCCTCCGCTCCACGTGCCTCCATAAGGCTGCGCAACTGCGCAAGCGTACATCCATATTGGTCAACGACCTGAAAATCGATATATTGATCAATCGCGATCGTATGCAGCAAGAGCTTAATAGTCAGCTTTGAACTTTAGCGCTTTTACCTATTTAGCTAACTATGGGAGGGAATTCAATCCCAGGACGTTGGGAATGTTTTTGGGAAAGATCTCGGCGCGCTCATACCAACGAGATACTGTAGCATATTGGAGCAAAACCTTGCAGAGAGTGGAGAATGAGCACAGGTGTCAGCTCCGATGACTTCAGGAACTCATAAGACGAAAATGGGTTGTAAAGTAGCCTGATCCATTGAGGACTTTTGAGCTCTAGAAGCTAAAGGCACGCTCAGCAATCAGAATAGAAGTTGAAATATGGCGTCGGGAGGGTAGTGTGGTCCGCGACGAACAACCTTGTACCGGTTTTGCGGCAAAAAATTGTAAGGGAGGGGCGCTATAGCGCAATATAGGTTCAGTGACTCCTTTTTTCCAGTGACTCCGCCTCCAGACTCCGCCTTCAAGGCCCGCCTTTCAGTGAAAAACGAAGCTGCAGGACGAAAAAGCATGAAAATCGTCACTTGTACGGTCGTAGAGTTCTTATCGGGGAATCAGCTGTGCGGATGAGGGCGTAGTGTTGGAGATGGAATTAATTGGGCACGTACAAATGGGATCGGAATGGGGTTCTCTAGGGCAGTTGGCATGGGTTTTTCTACTTTTTCTTTACTCTCGAGTTACTCAGAGCCTTGTAGTCTTTATGCAAACGCCTGATCCATTATCTGTGATGGGGAATACGGGGGCTTTGCCTTCAATAGAACCCAGGCTGACACGACATTAGTTTTAGCCGACCCGTTCTGAGGGACTCCGTCAGTAGACTCCTAGGGTCCAATTATCAGATTCCATAGGGCCATTACCTGCTGACCGTATGCTTAGAAGGCGCTCGAACGGGAAACTATTGACCGCTTCCACCTACCATCCCTCTTTCCAGAAGGTAAGTATCCTTCAGTGGACATGATCATTTACATCTACTGCAGATCGATGGAACAATAATGTTTGTTAAACTTATTAAACATTGCAATAACACGCAGGCTCTTCAGTCTAAAACCCGTTTTTTGTAATAGTAATATTCAAAGCGACCACAATCGACTACAACGTACTATCATATTAATGCATGACCATCATATTACTATAATTACGGCGCTGTTTGACTTGGTTTGGGGGGGGGGGACGGAGGGCATTTTGCACTTTTGCTGGTCTGTTGTTAGTACATGTGACCTAACCTGTGAACTCTTGTGAAGCTGCAAAATTGCGCAAATAACCCACATTAGTTACAGGACAGGAACTTACAGGTTATCAAGAAGGCTTTCACATTTGAGTACCATTTTGTGCCCCCTCCAAGTCGAACTGTGCCCTTATTATTACCTACAAAGTTATCATAATGACAATAAGTAGAGCTTATTACCTCGGATTTTTTATGTAGAAGCCTCATAGCGCTACTAATGAGACATTTTTCGCGGGAAAATAGTATCAATTAAACAGTATGTGAGTAAGGCCGACGCAGGTGCCTTTAGGGCTGATGGGAACCAATCAGAAGGGGAAGGACAGTAGGATGAATCGAATGGATGGAAATCGGCGGATTGGGGATTGGTAGAGATCGATAGTGAATCAATACGATCACAATGTTGATGAAGACGAAGACGGTATTCGTCGATCTCGACACCGGAATGGTTAAGGGTGGGCGTGGTGGACGGTAGGTCGTCAACGGGTTATCTCGTACAGGTGATGGTAGTGTGTGTATGTATACGGCATCAATCATCACACAGTCATGTCACAACTCAAGACCGCCACCCACGTATTGTTAGAAGCGACGAGACTGTATCATTTAGCAGTCGATAGACCGGCTTTGAATCATTTCGATTCATAGTCATATGCGTCCCGTCATATCAAAGATATGTCAAGGTTGAAATTGTGGGGGCGGAGATTTCTCCTTCAGTGTCAGACCGATGTGATTGTAACTTCCTTCTTCGACCCAATAAAGCTTTTCGATATATTCTCTTCTCATTCACATTAGAAAAGAACAGAACTTCCCAAGTCGATGCATCCCTCCTTGGGATTTTCCGAGGGCAGAGGAAAATTTTAACCCGGAAGCTGGCAGCACTGTATCTTTCTTCATGGTTGATCACCTCACTTATTGTAATTGACAGACACGGTTGCTACGCGGCATTGAATCTCAGTAAAAATCCGGTGCCAGAAACTGCTGCGGAGAAAAGGCGTGACCATTTGACAGATGGAATCACGCGTCGCTGCATAATTTCGAGAATATTCGGAGGGGTCCTCAGGTGTGGTTCGTGTACTATGGTGGCGGCCAGGGTCAACGATGACGTCGCAAAATCTGCGACGGGAGGGGGGGGTCGTATTCGGCTCCCCTCTACTCTGCCTCGTGAAGGGGGTCGTATTTGCAGTGATCAGTACCGAACATAGCAACGGTGTAGTGTGCAGGATGGGTGAAGGAGAGTACGTGCGCATTCACCAATGAGGTGTTGATGGGACAGGCGTCATGTCTTGCATCGGGAGTGGTGCTATAGTTTGTGATGAAGCTTATAATTACATTTTTCGCCGACGCTCTGCCATACTTGCCGGGGGTGATATGGCACCCGCCGCTTACGTGCCTTGGACTGCGTTACCTGACTTTGGCCGCAGCGTAGCGTGGCGCTTCCAGCGTACGCAGCGGCAATCCGAGGTGTCAGGAGAAGTAGGTATCATCTAGCGTTCCCAGCGTCACCGGAGCGTACGCGATAAGCAGCGTTAACGCTAGAACGAATATCTATCCTTCCCCGACACTGCGCGGCGTACGCTGGAAGCGCTACGCTACGCTGCCGCGAAGTATAAACGCAGCCTTACGCTGACTGCTGACCTCTTATCAAGTTACTGACTATGAGTTAAGTGAATAAGATAAGTGAAGGGTCATATAGAATGGATTTTTTGTAAACGGGTAATTTTCCCACTGTGTATAATTCGCTAAGTTTATATGTTGGTGTGTGTGTGTGTGCGTTTTTGAGGAAATTCATGAATTCCTTCGATTCAGCCGGAGAGAGTTCGAATTGGTAAGTGATACGGGGGGGGAGACGGGAACATGGATGATGGGTGGCAGGAAGTGATAACAGCTGACATGGGGTCTTAAAAAGGGAGGGTCACCAAGTTCATAACTTGCGCTGCAGCTGTGGAGCGTTGATTCCAAGAAGTGACATAGGGGGTTGGATATGAACTTCATTGGTGGGTGGCAGGAAGTGATATTAGCTGACAAGGGATGATAATGGGTGTTAGGTGAAGGTCACCAAGTTCATAACGTGGGTTTCAGCATCGTGGGATGTTTAGTTCTAAGATATGATGTAGTGTATGGGTCATGAATGTTATTTATGGGTGGCAGGACGCATTAAGAATTATTATGATCTGAGAAGGGAATCTGAAACTCAAGCGTCGCCCGTCACAGTAGCAGCAGGAAATTGGTTCCAATGAGTGATATAGTGGATGTGACGGGGTTATTACTGATGGGTCACAGAGAGGGATAACAACTGATAGGGGCAGATAAGAGGCGTTACCCTCTTCCACACTACCAAATCATAAAGATTTTGTGGTAATGGATCACGGGTGACAAGGGATTATATCAACTGATAGGCGTAAATAAGAGATAAGAGCTTATTTCCTCCTAATTTTTTACCACTATACTTCTAGGTTC